ATATCGTGATGTTCTTACTGGGCTAGTGTAGCTCACTCCTTAATTAACCATTTCAGATCAGGAAGACATGGTTCCCGAGCCCGTTCCGCAGGAGGACGACGAAGGGGATGCCTAGAGACTCTGTAGTCATACGCATAGTTTATTTTCGAGTTTTCTTTCTTAGTTAGTTTAACCTTTTATATTTTAAGTACGTTTGTTTGGTTTTTCGTGTAAGGGATGTTAATTGAAATTTTGATCTCGCTTCCGCATTCGATATGATTTAAATACTCATTTCATTTTAATATTTTCCGGGGTCGTTACAGTGAAGGCAGCATAGTTCACTGGCTTCTGGAATACGAGAAGATAAGTGACGAAATTGCACATCCAGAAACTTTGCTTGCTCTTCTCCTCGACATGTCCAAGGACATTGATGCTCACCTAACCAATCAAGCATAATATATATATATATATATATATACATACATATATATACATGTAGCATGTTGTTTGTTTTGTGATCTAAGGGAACTTTGTGTGCTTATGTTTTTTAAATTGCATGTCAAATAAATTATAGCTTGTATCTTGCATGTATGGTGTAATTATTTTATAAATGGAGTTTTGTCCGTGCAACTACTTAAAGACTTCATGTTTAAAATAAATTATGATGAATGGAGTTTTATGTGTGTTGATGTCTATGGATTTACATATATAACCTTCTATGCTGCGTACATGCATCTCCTTTCGTTATATATTATATGAATTTGCATATGCTGTTGCCATTAATTCCTAGAAAATTTTCTCTCATATCGTTACAGTAACATATGGGTATAAGCCGTGGATTGCATAAAAACCCATTTATATGTAATTAAAAATATTTGAAAGTATAAATGTAACTTCTTTTAAGACAACATAGACTCAAACTCGATTAACTCTGCAATAAAAACGACAAGCAGTTTGTACTAATAGTCCTGTAACAAACACATAAATATAATGCTCTGCACATGCATGTATAACTTACACCATCGCCCATGGTACAGAAAGAGCAAAACATACCCCATATATTACTCCACTAGATATTAATCTTCTTTACAGGACAATATATATACGTATTATATATAATAGCATGCAGAAAAAGTTCCTGAGCTAGAATACTAGCAAATCTAGGACATAAAACTAAGCCACGCAATTTCGTCTCCCCATCTTGCCTTAATAGAACACTGGAAACGTAATATGAAGCTTTTAGCTGGTATTCTAGTTTATACAAGTATTATTAATAATTGATGATCATGTCAGTACAAAGAATTTACTGTTACTAAAGAGTTAAAAATAATAATTTACAAATTAAAGATATTATTTATCTTACTAAAAAGTTAAAAAAAATAATTTACAAACTAAGCAAATTCTTTATCTTATTAAGAAGATAAAATTATAAATATATCTTTTTAGTTTTGTTAGGTAGTTCACGTTTTAAATTTAATTATTATCATGAATTAGATTTAATTTTGGTACGTGTATTTGAAATTTTAAGAGTTGTGTTAATGTCTAGATATACCTATCTACTTAAATTTTTTTTGCAATAACCACAAATGAAATTAAGTTTTTCTCTCCTTATTTTTCTTTCCATTTCAAATGAAATATTACCAAGAGATAGTCTATCTCTTAAAATTTTTTCTAACAAAGTGGTATCACAATTTCATTTCTTGATTCCTTGATTTTCTAAAATTTTAGAGAGATGACTAACAACGATATATTCTGATTCCAGTTCCCTCATCTTATAAATAAAAAAAAAAACTATGAGTTGGTGTTTTTATATGAAAATCATACTTGATGCATAAGATGTATAAGATATTACATACAAATGGTTTACTCCATCCGAAGATGAACCATCATGACTCAAAATAAGAAGGATGCTTTGGCAAAAATAAGGAATAAGGATTAGCAAGCCCTTGCTCTCGTCCATCAAGATTTGGATGAATATATATTCTTGAAGATGGTTAATGCTAGCAATGCAAAGCATGCTTGGGAGATTTTAAAGAATTCCCTCCAAAGAGTTGACAGGGTGAAGAAAGTGTGATTCCAAACTTTTATGAGGTAAATTTTTGCAAATAAAGGATATTAAATCTAGTTTAAATTTTTTCTCAATGGTAAAGCCGATAGTGGGCCAAATAAGGAGATACAATGACATGAGAGATGATTTTCATGTGATATAGAAAATTCTATGATCTTTGCTAAAAAAATTTGATTATGTGGTGTTTGCCATTGAAGATTCAAAGAATATGGACATTATAACATGATACAATGAGCAATTAGAAGGATCATTATTAGCTCATAAATATAAGATAAAAAAAAAAGATAGAAAAGCCTTTAACTCCAATTCTCAATCAAAGGTCTCTCTAAATGATGGTGAAAGGCAAAGAGGATAAAGAAGAAGAGAGAATGTGGTCATAATCGTGATCAAGTGCCCAAAAGAAATAACATTCAAGATGATACCAAAAATGAAGACAAAAGCCAATAGTTAAGTTAATGTCGTGGAAGAGGAAGAGGAGAGGTAATCATAGAAGGTTTAACAAATTAAACATTGAATGTTACAACTATAACAAATATAAACATTATGCTTGGGAATGTTGTGATACTTCAAAAAAAAAAAAAGAGCAGCAGGTCAACCTTCTTGATGATAAACAAGATGAGGAGGAAACAAGTTTGTTATTAACACATAAAGATGGAGAATGATTATCTTAATGAAGAGGTTTATGTAGAACAACTATTAGCTTTCGTAGTTGTAGAGCATGAAGATAAAATTTTAATATTGAAGAAAGCATTGCATGGGCTAAAGCAAGTGTCAAGGGCATGGAATAGCTATGTAAACAAGTATTTTGAAGATAATGAGTTTATTTGTTGTCTTTATAAATATGCTCTTTATATATCACGATAATGACAACACTTTATTTGTGTGCCTAAAGCTGGATGATCTCATCTTTACTAGCAACAATCTGATCTTATTTGAGAACTCAAGGAAACCATGTTTCTTCAATTTAAGATTACTGATATTAGACTCATGTCTTACTATTTGGATCTTGAGGTGAAGTAAATGGAAGATGAAATTTTTATTTCTAAAAAATGTTAAGGAATAAAAATCTTAAAGAAATTCAAAATGCTTAATTGTAAAACTGTGGATAACTTCTTGCGTTTGCGATGCCATATGGCTTAAAAGTTATTAAAGGAACTTCACGTTACTCAAAAGGGAGCTAGTAAAATTTCTATTGACAATAAGTTTGCACAGACATTAGCCAAGAATCTAATGTTTCATAAACGAAACAAACACGTAGATACAAGGTACCATTATATTAGGGATCTTTTGCTAAAAAAAAAAAGTTGAGCTCAAGTATATTAAGACTTACGATCAAGTTATAGATATTTTCACCAAACCATTAAAGTTCAAAATTTTTTAAAGACTACGTGTTAATTTTAGAGTGAAAATGAAAATTTTGTAATACTTGGACTCAAAAATTTGGCCCGAAATAATTTAATATTAATAAGAATAATAATTAAAATAATTTAGTTTTTAATTTTCTTTTTGTTAATTTTTGAAGAAATATGGATTTTAGATGAAATTGAAATTAATTTTGAAAAACATGGTGAAACTGTGAATAAAGGGGGGTGCATTTGAAAGAAAAGTTAAAAACAAGGGATCAAATCGCAAAAAGGAGAAATGCGGGCTACGTGGGACGACCACGTTAACAGCATGGTGAGTCAGAACGTGCCACATAGTGGATACACTGGCACAGGTTCCACATGGGAGCCACGCAGGCGATCCGCATGCCTGGGCAGTCCAACGACTCGTGCTTACTCCCGTGCGCACGAACAATCTGAATTGATTTCCTAGATTAACATGATCAGGCGGTCCATACATCTTCGATCGAACATCTTAGATTAATTTTCCAAATAAGAGTGATCAATGGCTAAAGATGGACCACGTCTCGTTGAACGAATGGTCCAGATTTAATGGAGATGAGTATTTAAACTCCTCTTCACAGAGAACCCTAACCCTAGCTGCCAGAAAGGAGATTGGAGAAGAAGAAGGAAGTAGCCGGAAAGTGAACCAGTCCTCGGAGAAAGAGACTGCCATCGTCCTGTCACACCGGAGCCACTGTCGATGCTGAAAAGTAAAAGTTTTCCCATTCCATTCGAATTGAATTT